CTTAATCGCAGCGTCGTTTTGCTCTAAACTAGTCTGAATAAAATAGCGAATCCACCATGTTTCGCTCCGTCGTTTAGCCTGGAAAATAGGTTGGTGTCAAATTACCTTGGTTTTTCGCCTGTTGTTGGCAATCCAAGTAGCTATGCTCTAGAAACAAAGATTTCAGATTATGGGTATCAAACTAAAATTCTTTTTAATGCACTCATCTTCAAGATAGGGAAAGAAAACATTTACTCAAGCCCTAAACATAGTCGCCATGGTAAAGCTGTTTTTTTTTTTTTTTCCCTGTGGCTATCAGTCTAAGCAATTATGACTAGCCTGAAAAATGTCTATATCCCAAGGGACGTAGGGAATGTTTCAAAATAAACCAGAGTATTGTGTTCTGAATACACGAAAACATCTGAGAACACGAGATTGATAATATTTGTAAGAAAAAAGAATGAGATATGTTAATGGTGGCATGAGCCTCCGAATGAATATTGAATAAAGAACCGACTTATTTGCAGGGATCTTTTAGAGAGGCACTTACATGCCGTCCAGCTGATTTTGGATTATCTGCATTCTTGGGTTTTTGAATGTGTGGATAACCTATAAACAACATTTAAAACAATAAATGCATCAAATACAGTGTTATGTGAGATCTAAAGAATCTCTAAGGGTTTCTTAAAATTAGAATCTGGTTGAGATTTTATTTTCTACTTAATTGCAAGCCAGGCATTCTAATGAAGCTCAAACTTTCTTAAAATTTAATACAGCCTCACTTCTTACCAGTGAACACGACAACACCACCAGATGATACCCTTGCTAATTCAGGAAGTGTTCTGTTGAGGTACCTGGGTGACAAGTAGTCTAATGCATCTGAGACAATCACAAGAGAAAATGATTTTGCCCTATAAGGAAAAGGAAACTTAATATCGGCCACGCGTACAATTCCCTTGTGCACAAGTTTCCTGCAGTCACGATCAGCATCTTCTATATCATAGGGTTCCACACCCCACGCTTCAGTGTCCTCCTCTGTTAACAGTTTGGAAACTACTGAGCAAGTGTCGGGGCCAACATGCAACACCCTATGCATACTGTCACCATATGTATTTTGCAGAGATGGAATTGCCATTTGTACATCAATATTGCAAGATAAGTCGCCTGCATCCATAAAACAGGTTACAAATCTCTAATTTAAAGGTCATTTGCCAATGCACATCAATTAATTTTTTGAAAGAAACACAAAGAAAGATAACAGAAAAATGCCAAAGATGTTAAGTTATCTACCTAAAGGAATTTTATATAATAGCAATCATTAAAAGCTACAACTTCACCTAATTTTATTTATGAGAGTAAGATAAATCTAAGATATACAGATCTCATAAATAAAGTATGTGCAACCCTCTCTTGTTACAGGAAACGGTAACCAGATGACAAGCATGTCATAAAACTTCATTTCCAACTCTGAAGGAAGAAAAAGTTGGTATCTTGACTGCAAATGGAAAACCTTTCAGGCAGGCAACTCTCTTGCAGAAATCCAAATTAAACACAAGAAAAATCAAGTGATGATAAATAAAGTGTCAGGATACTGGATACCACACAATGTAGTTAATGAGGCCTAGACCTTATGCTTTAACTAAAAGAACATGCCAAAGGGACGAATAAGCATTGACATAGTTATAGCATCACTAAATACAAGTAATTCCAAACTGGAGAAAAGTACGAGTATCACTTTCAGATAAAACCTACTTGTCATTTGTCAATGTAGAAATATTGCATAGCACTAACAATAAATACAAATAACAAATTTACCTTCAACTCTGCTGACAGCTCCAATGTCACCTCCTCCTATCAAGTAAAGATAATTGCTTGGTCAATGCCAGAGAAATGAGAAGTAGCAAACATATAGGAGTCAGGTGAAGCCAAAATTCTAACGCTTAACATTAGCGTGGACAGGATCACATCATATGCAACTATTACCAAACAAGAATCAAAGTTTCATAAATACAGTGGTTGCAAAATTTGCGAATATACCTAGTACTCTACTGCATCGCGGGTTCAAATATACAGCAATACAAACCATTTACCAATGGTTCGCCTAGAACTATACTCTGAGCAAATAGCATCATTTACGAACTTTAACAGGTATGTAGAATTGTACATTTAATATATTTCTTGATACAATACAGAGCAGACAACTAGACAGAAATAAAACTGCAGTAACTATATATGCTTTATCCATAAAATGCACTAGAGTCGAATACAAACCTGAGTCGCGATAGAAATAGCCTATAACAAGAAATATTCCCTGAAAATTCAAAAGAGAATAAACTAATGAATCAATTACAACATATATTTTTCAAACCGAGCAATGTGTAACAACTGCTACATAACAAAGTACCACAACGAGCCCAATTGGCAGATACGGCGGAGACCACGGCTTCGACCGAACTGAGGCTGACAATGAAGCAGCTCCACTACCAGCTACACGGCGCGATGGATTGATTGGCCTCCGTGACATTGCTGATCAAAATCTAAGTCGCTAGTTAGAATTAAATCAACCGAATTGCAAAACAATATTATTGAGTTCATCGAGAAATTCACCACGAGATCCTAGAGATTCAACCTTCGTAACTTGAGGGCGGATTGAAAATTGTAAGGTGATCATTTTTCCCGGGAATTAATTACCTGATGAAGAGTGATGAGCAGAGGGCGGGGTTCGGGTCCGGAGCTTTGGAAGTCCGATTCGAGATCCGGATTCTCAATGCTGGTTCATTGTTGTACGTATAGAGATCCGTAGAGCAAAAAGGGAGAATGGTTATGGAAGCTTTAGATCGAGGGCGTGCGTCTTCCTTCCTTCCTGTGATTGTGTTTGGTTTTTAGAAAATGGTTTTTTCGAAATTTGGCGTAAAGGCGCGTATGGTACAATTGGAGCGTCGGTGACCTGTGAACGGATCCGGGTCTGGACTCCAGTAATGTCACGGGCTAATATATATATATATATAGGAATGCACTCAGGTGCAAATAAGTGCTCAGGAGGGAAATGCGAACGAATCACCGCGCGACACGTGTCCAGATCTAATAACTTTAAAAAAAATGCGGTGGTATTTTCGTAAATAATTAAACATCAAAGTGCAAGTAAAATCACTTACAAGTGCACTTACTTTCACCTATAAGTGCATGTAATTTTGCCTTGTTAGCATTCACTTTCCGCAAACATTCATGCACATGGGTGTGTTTATAACTATATGTGCAACTACTTATAACTATAGGTGCACCTACTTTCACCTATAAGTGCATGTAATTTTGCATTGTTAACATTCATTGATCTGAGTTCAGCAGGTAGTAATACCCCTGAAAACCACTCGCAAACATTCATACACCTAGGTGCAACTACTTATAACTATTTGTGCAACTACTTAGAACTATAGGTGCAACTACTTAGAACTATAGGTGCAACTAAGTATTGATGCTCAGTGTAAATTTTTACTTGCACCTATAATACATTTTACATGCACTTGTAATACATTTTACTTGCACTTCGATGTTCAATTATTTACAAAAATGCCACCGCGTTTTTTAAAAAAATCAGTGTTTCTCATCCATTAGATCTGGACACGTGGACAAACAGAATTCATTCATATTTCGCGTCTGGGCGAAGCATTTGCACCTGAGTGCGATTATATATATATATATATATATATATATATATATATATATATATATATATATATATATATATATATATATATATATATATATATAATTTTTTTGGAATAAGGTTCAAATTGTCCACTTAACGGAAAAAAAGAAATACAATTAGGTCACTAAACACTTCAAAAATGTGCAATTAGGCCACTGAACACTTCAAATGTATGCAATTTTACCGGATAGCAAGTTACCATCAATTTTAGCAGGTTACCTACTTACTTGGCAGCTAAATTATTTTTTTAATAATTTTTAATAAATGTTAATAATAAATTTAAAAATATTGAAAAAAATAAATAAAAACTTAAAAAAATAACACATTTTTCTTTTTTTTTTTAATTTTATTATTAAAATTATTAAAAATGTCAATTCAGTTGTCACGTAACCTGCTAAAATAGATAGTAACCTGCTATCAGGTGAAATTACATACATTTAGAGCATTCAATTGCCTAATTATACTTTTTTTTCGTTCGATAACCTAATTACATTTTCATGTTACGTTCAGTGGTCAATTTGATTATTTGAACCATATTCCATTTTTGGGACGTTATGCCATGGAACCGTGTTCACCATTCATGGTGAACACGGTTCCAACGGTGTTAGTACACCGTTATTTTCTTCTTTTTTTTTTTTAATTAATTGCGTGACTTTTTTTTCTTTATTTTCACATTTTGCGGTTTCACTTTAATTTGAGGTGAACAAAGATTTCGGACATTCATAAATTATGAATTCATGCCTGCACATTCACTTTGGAACCATGCCTACATATTCCCGTCCGAAATCACGGACATTCATAAATTATGAATCCATGCTTGCACATTCACTTTGGAACCATGCCTACACATTCACTTTGGAACCATGAGATTATGAATTTTCTGTTATAAGATTATGAATTTTCTGTTATGAGATTATGAATTTTCTGTTATGTGATTATGAATTTTCTGTTATGAGATTATGAATTTTCATTACATTCATAATTTCGGACATTCATAAATTATGACTTCATGCCTGCACATTCACTTTGGAACCATGCTTACATATTCTCGTCCGAAATCACGGACATTCATAAATTATGAATCCATACCTGCACATTCACTTTGGAACCATGCCTACACATTCACTTTGGAACCATGAGATTATGAATTTTCTGTTATAAGATTATGAATTTTCTGTTATGAGATTATGAATTTTATGAAAATTCATAATCTCATAACAGAAAGTTCATAATTTGATCAAACGCGCGCCGTTAACTCTACATCCGCGAATTTTTATTATTATTTTTTGCCTAAAAACGACGTCGTTTTGCCTTGTGTTCACCATTCTCGGTGAACACGATTCCATGACATAATTTGCGCCATTTTTTTAAAAGTTCAATTTCTTGTACTGAAATAATTGATTCCAATATGAATATATGATATGGGCAGCCGGGACTGTCCAATCCAACAAGCGCCCAGTGGGCTTAAACATTCCCCCATTTCCCCCAGCAAAGCATAGACGTAGATTGTCAAATGAACAAATTCTTTCTTTATCTTTTTTGATTGGAAGAAAAATAGTTTTTTTTTTTTTTTTTTTTGAAGGGGGAAGAAAAAGAGTTAATCAATTGAATAGTAGTAATCTAGGCGGTGTGTATAATTTTGACTGCATATCCTCCTTATTTAGAATTTGAATCGCTATAGAGGATTTTGGTGCATGGTTATTGGGATTCCGGTTTGAATTCCAGTTCCGAAGCGGATTTAGGTCTTTAGGATGCCCGGATGAATTATATGCTATTGAATTCTTGAGTTGTGGAATAGCAGTAGGGTAAAGATGAGTAAGGAGCAGAAGAGGGATAATCCTCCCCAGCATCAACAACCAGAAGGTGGGGAGGATACGATGCTCTGGAGGGTTCTCGTTTTTGGGTTAATCGGAGCTTCTGCCACTACGATTGCCGTGAGTTATTTGTTTCTAAAGATTGTATTTTCAGTCCTTTTCATCCGTTCCTTTTTAACATTTTGTGAGCATGAGGTTCAGACTTAAATTGTTGTTAATTTTGTTGAATTATCTTCTGGGAATTGATAGAATTTAAGCTTGTGGTGAGTTTTAGTTCAATTCTAATTTGACATTATATATGCTTTGAGGTTTTGCATATAGTTCTTGACTTCGTGGAGATTCTTGCCATAAATTGAATTCTTTGTAACTTCCCACATATGCATTTGAATGTACAATGTTTAGTGGCTTCAAAAGTTGGGGATTTTGTGTGAATTGAAACTTGAGTGGAGTGTTGGAGGCATGATTGAGGCATGGAATATATGAAAATCATATGAGGTATTCTTTTGATGAGGCTATCTTTGGTTTTCAGTTCAGCAATTTTGAAAGGCAGTAGCCTTTCTTTGAAGGCTTAAATGTAGTTTGACCCCAAGTTTTCAATCACATATTTTAATGAATGCATTTAGTAATGTCCTTCAAAATCATGAATGCATGTAATCAAAGTCCTTTAATAGCTATCGAGGGCTAAGTTTATCTGATACTTTGGTGGTTTTTACAGGCTTCAAAATTGCGAAGGACAGTTGATTGGGTGTATTCTCAGGTAACTACTAAGTATTATCTTTCTTCAGTATGAGTTGTCCTGTTGCACGTTGGGTTAATCCATATCATGTGTGCATTATCCCTTTCCAGGAGAAAAATAGAAAGGGCTGTGGGGAATGAGAATAGGAATCATATTGCTTAAACTGATAATTGATACTATTGAATTTGAAAAGTTTACCAGGTCACAGACAAGGTGGAAGTTTTGGACAGATTTTCGTGAGGATGCATGGAAAAGATACAATAGACGCATTCAGGAGGAGTATGAAGATGAAATGGAGAGACTGGTAAGATTAATCATAATATATTTTTCATGCTTTCTATTAGCAATAATACAACATAAGATATATTCTCTAGCATAAGAATGACGCACTTTTTCCTCTATGACTTGTTTCGAAGGAAAAAGAATTATGATGTAATTTGTTCCGTGATCTATTTACACAAGGGTGCAACAACATTTAGGCAGGGCTGAGGTTAATAATTAATGGGATAATGTAGCCACAAGATTCTTGTTAGGAGAAGAAAGGGACTCAAGAGGGGTAGTTGAGCAAAGTTAAGCAAAGCTGCAGATTATCTTATTTAGTTGAGATAATCAAGTGATAATTTCATTGGACACATGTAGTAGGCTAGTAGCTCAAGTGGCAAATGAGCTCTCTTTGTGGGGGAGAATTCCGGGATAACCCGGGTTTGATTCCCTTTGGGCCAGCTCCCGTGTCTCCTGGAGCGAACGAGGATTAGTCAGGTGGACCTGGACCGTTAAATAGACAGAGAAAGACCCAGACCACCTCGTGATTTACACCAAATAAATAAAATGATCGTCTTACATATCTACTTTCTAGAATTTCTTTATAATTAAACCATTTACCGTTCCTAGTTTTTCTCGAATTGGTGATTAAGAGACTGAAAAGGTGTGGATGGTGTATCTCTGCTTTCTGAAACAATGTTTGCTAAGCTGAAGAAGGATATTATTTGGAACTAGTTGATTCTTTAATTTAATTATTGAGGTGCTCTTGAAACCTATCTGCTTAAATAACATTTTATGGTCGTATCATAGTAATTTGTCTTTGCTTTACATAGGAGCGGATACGACGCATGCAAAATGTTTTCAATAGACGGAGAAATAAATACCAAAAAGACTTTGAGAGCTGGGAAGAAAATGGACGTGGAGCATATCATCAGCATTTCCAGAGGAATGACTGGTATTGGAAGGCTGATACATCGTTCAGAGACCGGGGGACCAATTCCCGAGAATCTCCTCGGGTGAATTCAAGCTACCCATTGTCACATCACTATTCAGTATTGGGTCTTGAAAGGTAGGAGTTCGTTCTCATCATAGCTCGTCACTCTAGTGTGTTCACTAACATACTATAAATTGTTACGGGTTTTCTCTATTAACTAATCTATTGTTTCTGCATTTCTGAAACCTAACATTCTGGGTTCATTTCTGAACAGATCAAGGGCAAAACCATATACAGATGCTGAAATAAAGGTACTTCATTACTAGCAGTCTAGCACCCAATTTCTCTATTTTCCTTTCTCCAGTTTCCCATTTCTTGAGAGAAGTGGAATATTTCTCCCGTTAGTAAATGTTTTTGCTTTTCCTTTTTTATGCAGACGGCCTTTAGGGCGAAGGCAATGGAGTTCCATCCTGATCAGAATCAGGATAATAAAGGTGGGGGAATGCATTAACAATCCGCAAATCTCATTTTGAAGTGATATATATATATATATATATATATATATATATATATATATATATATATATATATATATATATATATATATATATATATATATATACACACACAATTAGTTGACTAACATATCTATGCCTGTGTCTTGGCTACAGAGTTTGCTGAAGCCAAATTTAAGGAGGTTATGGTGTCTTACGAGGCTATAAAGTTGGAAAGAAACAATGGCACGAAACGATGAAAAATCCACACTAAAGAGGCTTTATGCAGCACATAGCTCATGATCTTTGCACCCTGCCGATTTGAGGACTTGGGTGGCTACATTCTGGAAAAGTAATTTAATCTTTTGAATAGCATTACATATATACTTCTCAGTAACATTGCCCAACTTTTTGTTGTACATTTTGAGTAGTTTGTGTCTTACAATTTGTTGTTTGTATAGAAATAAGCAAAATGCCTACAAAAGTACAAATCAGATCACTGTAGTATCAAGGCCTACTTTTTGCATCACTATGTTCATTGCTCCAAGATTGAGATTTGAGAGGATACAAAGTGGAAAATTTTGTATTTACTTCAAAGTATATGACTTTACTGTAATTCTTCTTCTTTGTTTTTTTTTTTTTTAATTTTTTTTTTGTTTTTTTTTTTTTTATCACCAGGACAAATATTCTTCTTCTACATGCTTATCTTCACCTACAAACCTCCATGGTTGTTGGAGCTCTGTAATAATATGCAGGAACAGTTTCAAGGAAGAACATTTGTCTTAATCCTTCAGCCTTCATCTCTAAATAATGCATAATGTTCAAATTTTAAATTTTGTTGGATCAATCAAAGTTTCAACTACTCCCATTTTATGTGTCTCATTTAGTTAAGGAGGCTGACTTGAAGGCTTAATTGAAGCCAGCGCCTAAGTGGTGCTTAGGTGGCCGACCTAGACCTCCGATTATGGTGATACGCCAAGCGGTTGACCGGCGCCTAGCACCTCGGCGCCGACTAATCGGTGCTTAGGCGGGATTTTTGCAACACTATTTCAAACAATTGAATTTAGAAATGTAAGGCGACCTAGACCACCGATTATGGTGATACGCTAGGCGGTCAGTCGGCCGACACCTAGCCCCTTGATGCCGTAAAATCGGTACTTAGGCAGGATTTTTGCAACACTATTTCAGACAATTGAAATTAAAGATGTAATTTTCGTTTGTAATTAAAAATCAGAGGGAAAGAAAAGTGAAAAACAGGCGCAAACCAAAGAAATTTTAAAATCTTTGAACGAGAATGTTTTGGAAGGAGGCGACTATGGTGTACATTGGAAAGGCTGAGTGGTAGTTGATGTGAGGGTGATGTGGGGCGGTTCAATGCCGCGGAAGGGGAACTGCGAGTTCTGTATGCCCAGGAGGAGGTGTACTGGAGGCAACGCTCCAAACAACTATGGCTAAAGGAGGGAGACCTCAATATGCCTTACACTAAGAAAATTCAATGGGGAAAAACTTATTAGTTAAGGGAAAAAGAGTACAACTATAAGCCTTCAAGGCATTATCAGCATAATTTTCAGGATATTGGGATTTGTCTACTAAAACAATTATTTTGCAACTTTTTCCTATTTACATTACTATATCATACTAATGCCTCGTTAAAAACCTCACTAGAAAACTCAGGGGGAAAAACTAGTTGAGGAAAGAGTGCATGATATATGTATTCTTGTTTTAGATTAGCTGCCTCATTAAAAACCTTAGATTTAAGGAAAACCTCGTGGGGAAAAAATTAACTAAGGAAAAAGAGTACAGCTATTAGCCGTCAAGACCTAATCTTCAGGATTGTAAAATGATACTGCCCCTCAAGAAGACAATCTTCAAATCCACACATAAAATATATATATATATATATATATATATATATATATATATATATATTATCTCTAAAATTGTAGAAATTAATTAGTCAAATCTTCTGGATTGTCACTAGAGTGAATATTTTGCACAATAATTTTGTGACTCTTCTAGAGCTCATATTGGTTGAATTTTGACGCTATATATGCTTTGTCAAATATTCTTTAACATACTCATATATCATTTGTGCAACTCAAGTGTTATTGTCCTCATTTGCGACATTGGGGGTAATTCATTGTTTAACCAGTTTGGAATTTTGGCATCACGGGGATCAAACATATATAATAACCAATACCCAAACAACCTATCAAAACGATACATTTGTTTCTCATATAAATGCCAAACTCTTTTGTAACTCGGAATATATATTAAACACTATTCCAATATTTCATTGTAGAAGGAGCCCTAGATGTTGCTAGCAATTTTATCACAAATATCATGTCTGTTGCAATTATGGAACTTCTGGTTCTAAAAGGTGCTCCAACGACAAATGAAGTAAAGGGCTAATAAGATATCCTTACCGAGTCTAAACGGTCTTTATCTACTTCAAGAGATTATTAGGCAACCTATAGTTTGATAAAACCATGACACTTAACCATATAGACATGTGAAAAATAGGCTAACTAGTGTATAAAATTCAAAGAAAAACTCGATCTTCAAGTCGAGATAATACTTATCTTTCACAAGCTTTTTATTTCAAAATCTCCGTCTTTAGATATTGGCGGACATCATCAAGCTCTTTATATATTTCATTGATGTTTACACCATCAATATTGACTGAGATAATAAATAATAAATAAGTTCATTATCAACCTTTTATCGAGCACATAATGGTACATATTATTCCTTCTTAATAAGGATAATAACTTCATTCGCAACTCTTTAAAGAGTACATAATGACACATAAATACATATTTCTTCTTCGAGAGGAAAATACTCAACCAATTCTTAATTATTTCAGGTCATATAAAGACTTAATATTTTAATGTTGCGATTTTCGCTTTTTCTCATTTTGAGAACTTAAAATCCTTCGGGGATTTTGAAATTAATATTAGTTGCATATCTAAGTTTATTATTCTGCCAATAATATTATGTAGCGGAATTTAATGTCATTTACCGTGAGAGAGTTTATTTGATTAGAATCAATCAAGGGTATCTGCGTGAACCCATAAGGCTACAAACTCGCTTCATATCATATCACCTCGTTATTCTTATTTCTCTCCCATGCACACACCTATTTGTAACCTTCGGAGTTAACACTCAACGGTGTAATGTTATAAAGAGAATATATATTTCAGCGAGTCGAGCTATGCCTTAATTGCTCCTTTATACGTTAAATAGTCATGGCACTTCCGGTGCCTAACTCTAGATCCAGATTATCATATAACGAAGCAATTTGTAAAGGCAATGGTGTTGTCGACAACTATAATACTTTCATAAATCTCTCACATATTTATAATTGTGCATGACAATATTTAATTCAACCAGATTTTAGACATTTCCCAGAACTATTCAGATCACATCTGGTTGTCCCGCATCCCTAATATTATGTTTGTTTGGTGCACCTATGAATTGACTAGGGTTTCTCGTCATCTAGACAAGCGTCTCCAGGACTAAATTATTCAAGCTTTTCCAAGAGTGACAATGTTTATTTACTAGATCTAGTATTATGATTCTTATCTCTTTTCACCAATAGATCTCCTATGCTTCTAGGGTCAAAGAGTATCAGTAGATATATTTGGTCCAAGTTGGGGAAGGTATATGGACCTAGTCACTCTTTTATGATCACTATGATCAATTGATATGTTTGGCAGATTATTTGCTAAAGTCGCAAATATATAGACTATCTTTTGAACTTCTAGTTTAGTCTAACTAGCATGTGGATTTAAATAATGAAGATCTTTTCATTTTATGAAATTTCTTGGCATTCCATTAAAAGTTAGTCTATTATCTCCCCTTAATGCCGAGAAACAATCTTCATTAAGTATGTAATCAGCGTATATCTATTGATCCCCTATAATGGGCTCTAGGTTTTTAAACAACAGACGGAGGTTTATAGCCCATAGAGATACGCTGAGGTGGTGATACAATAATGGGCTCTAGGTTTTTAATTAAACAACAGACGGAGGTTTATAGCCCACAGAGATACGCTGAGGTGGTGATACAATAAAATGAACTGCATACTTAGAATAGAAACGCAGATTGAGAAATGTTCAATTCTACCATGTACTATGTGTATGGGGGAGTAATTACGATATGCAGTGAGTCAGATTTGAATTAATACAAATATCCTTAAAAAAAAAATTTGGTAATTTCTTTTTCACACATGTTTTATAATTTACTTATATATGGGTAAGAAATACAAATATCTGACTCATTATGTTTGCCCTAAATGAACCAAATGTTCATGCCATAATTTAAAAAAAAAAAAAATTAGGTCTTTAAAATTTTAAAAGAATCGCAACATATAAGTACTCAAAATTATATGCAATTATATATGTCCAAATAAAGAAAGCATACATATTAATTAAATGAAATTATACGAGTACACAACCATCTTAAGTATGTCAAATAGATGTATAGATGGTGAGACCATTCAGGATCTCAAAAAATCATTTTATAAATATATGAGAAGTCATCGTCATCAAATATATACAACTAATTTGCTTCAGGAAAATTATTATGACGTAATTTACTTCTAGCTTTCAAACACATAGCATTTTAAATAAGTATATCATGATCACTTTGTGACATGATCATAAAATATTTTGGATTGAATAACATAACACTGTACTAATGATAGAAATTCAAAACTTTTTCACCAAGTAATTGCTTCTTTTTGAAGTCAAATCAATTTCCATTATTGCTAGCTATTTACTTTACAAAGTTTAAAGATAGATTCATCATTAGATTCCCCGTCAGAAAAGATAAGAAGATTATGGTTGTGTTCGCTGGAATTGCCAAATCGGGAAGGGAATGGGTGGTTGCCAAATTGAAGAAGAAGAAAGTCACATGAAATGACGACTTTGCTCCTTCCATTTAAGATTAATTGTTGATTTAAAATTTTTTGATCACATTTGGCCGGTAATTCGGTCGGCGTGATCAAAATTAATAAGAATTGCATAGTTAAAAATTTTTATTAATAAAATTAAAATTTTAATTTTTTATTATTAAAAATTAAAATTATTCAACATTTTGAGTAGGAGTTGACGGGGAATGGGAAATTCCCGAGCCCGTCTAATTCTTCGCGGGGACGGGGAACATTTTTAATTCCCCGCCCCCGCCCCGTTGCTATCCCTATCTGAGCCGCCGTTCATTTGATTAAAAAAATATGATTTTTTCTGCCCATTATACGCCTAACTCTCTTAGGGCCCGTTTGGTTCACGGAATAGACCGGCCCGTTTGGTTCACGGAATAAGCCGGGAATGGCATAGCATTCCCGGTAATAGGCGTCTATTACCAGGCTTAATATTCCTAATAATAGCATATTACCTCAAATAAGGTAATAGCTATTACCAGGGGCCCCTTGGTATTAACTTATTCCTGAGTCCTCAGGAATAGAATTTTTTTTTTCTTTCAATTTTAACCTTTATCATTTTTTGCATTCTCTCCCCCATCTACGATTCCTTCCCCAATTCTTTTCATCATAAGCATTAATCAAACAATTTCTTCCGGCCATTCTGCATCAACCTTTGCAATTCTTTCTATCATCTACATCAACATCAAATTAAAGCTTCAAACAAAGGTAATTTTTTGAAATTTATTTTTTACAAATTAATTATTATTGATATTTAATACTGAATATTCATAGTAAGTAATCCATGTTTCTGGGCAAATTAAATTAGCACTGCATCAAGAAATTTGTAACAATCAATTCATACAACATCATTTTTCAAATGTATTATACACTAAATTGATCAACAATAATAAAGAATAATCATAACCCCATGCGTTTCATTACTCGTGGCCAGAAGATGGTGATAACAATATTGTTTTGCATGAAAGCATACAACAAAATATACAATTATCAGAAACATCCCTCAAGAATGTTTTAGGGAACAAAAAAACTCCGTGAACCACTTTTTTTTTTTTTTTTTTTAAATGCCAGAAAACTAACCCGCATTGTTCAAAATCATCGTTAACAAATATCACATCAAGTGCCTAATTTTCTTGTCCTTGAACAAAAGCTTCTTCCAACAATGATCTCTCTTTAATGCCTTTCTCTTTTCTTGTTAAAATTCTTGAATTCTAAAGAATTTGCATCAACCCACAATTCACCTATTCCCAGAAGCACCGTTATTAACGCCACCGACGAACCATGTCGTCCTCTTTCGTCGTGGCGCGCCGCTTCAAGTGGTTTACGTAGCCATGACTTCTCTAATATATATATTTTGATCACTAACAATGATTGAATGATTAAACAAATTAATTCTCAGGCTTTTAGAGATAATTATGTGAAATGGCGTGAGGGAGATAGATAAAATAATCACTTGTAATTCCTTGTCTGCTTGAACTAATCACATCTCCTTGTATAGAGAAGATAGGACTGTTAATTATCTCACAAGTTATTGTAGAAAGACTCCTTGAATCAAGGATAATCTCTTATCTTGAACAAAACTCCCTGATGCTTTCAAATTCAGTTGTTCTTTCACTTATCAGTAATATTTGTGTATATATATGTTAATTTTTATACAATATTGTAGTTTCTATAGAATAACATTATTTAAAAACATATGTAATAATAATAATAATAATAATAATAATAATAATAATAATAATAATAATAATAATAATAATAATACATTTTTTGTATAGGAGTATTTATGTCTTGTAAACTCATATTCCATTTTTATTCCTTAAACCAACCAAAACACTGAAATAACATTCTTAAACTCTATTAATTCAACGAACCAAACAAAAGAATACAATTCATATTCTATTCCTTATGAAATACTATTCCTATTCCTTTAAAATTTATTCCATGAACCAAACATGCTGTTAGACTCTTATTAGTATAATAGATAGAGTAGATAGTAAATACATTTATATATAATTGCTTTTAGGAATCCAACAACATTAAGAATTCTACCATAAATATAAACCCATTATTAATTAATGCCAAAATAATGTGTATATAAGATTTTACAACATTAATCAATTTTCACTGCATGCCCGGGAGTATTTTATTGTTGAGTTGTGGAATAGCAGTAGGGTAAAGATGAGTAAGGAGCAGAAGAGGGAGCATGAACGAGCAAAAGGCGGGGAGGATACGATACCCTGGAGGGCTCTCGTTTTTGGGTTAATTGGAGCTTCTGCCGCTACGATTGCCGTGAGTTATTGGTTTCTATTTTTAGTCCTTTAATCTACCCTAGGGCTTCTTTTATCTCATACTTTGGTGGTTTTTACAGGCTTCAAAATTGCCGTCACCTAATTGGATGTATTCTCAGGTAACTACTAAGTATTAAACTCATAATTGATACTATTTGCTTAAACTCATAATTGATACTATTGCTTAAACTCATAATTGATACTATTGAATTTGAAAAGCTTACCAGGTTTGAAAAGTTTACCAAGTCAGAGACGGGGTCGAAGCGTTTGACAGAATTTCGTGAGGATGCTTGTAAATTATACGAAAGATACAAGAGACAATTACGCTTATTGGCGTATGAAGATGAAATAGACTGGTAAGATTAATCATCATCATCATATATTTTTCATGCTTTCTTTCTATTACCGGTAATACAACATAAAAGATATGATTCCTTCTGATCTCTAGCATAAGAATGATGCACTTTTTCCTCTATGACTTGGTTTCAAAGGAAAAAGAATTATGATATAATTTACACAAAATTTAGGCAGGGCTGAGGTTAATAATTAATAGAAAGGGATTTAAGAGGGGTAGTTGAGCTTGCTAAGTTAAGCAAATCTGCAGATTATCTTATTTAGTTGACATAATTTCATTGGACACATGTAGTGCCAACAATTGAAGCATGTGCTCCATCTCAACTAAAAGCTTAAGCTTATAGTTGGATTGCACATTAATGGCTATATGCTCAACAGTAATAATAAAATGATCTTCTTTATAATTAAACCATTTACCGTTCCTAGTTTTTCACGAATTGGTGATTAAGAGACTGAAACAATAATGTTTGTGGAACTAGTTGATTCTTTAATTTAATTCTTGAGGTGCTCTTCAAACATATGTTATGGTCGTATCATAGTAATTTGTCTTTGCTTTACATAGGACCGGTGGGGGACCAATTCCAGAGAATCTCCTCGGGTGAATTCAAGCTACCCATCGTCACATCACTATTCAGTATTGGGTCTTGAAAGGTAGGACTTCACTAACATACTATAAATAAATTGTTACGGGTTTTCTATTAACTAATCTATTTCGTAATGGCCATGTATTTGTTGTCCTTATACTAGCCTGGATTGTTCTTTTTCGCACTGGGGCATATTTCAAAGCAAGTATACCTTATGTTGTACTATAAATCCATTTTTGTTATGTCATTTAATAGCCTGGGTTCTTTTGTGGTGAGGTGATATCATTTTTACCTTCTGCATATCTATTCCCTTCGTGGTTAAAAGTCTGTATTTAACAAGAACATCTTAAAGCTAACATTCTGGGTTCCTTTCTGAACAGATCAAGGGCAAAACCATATACAGATGATGAAATAAAGGTACTTCATATTGTTTCTGCATCAGCTAAATTTCTTTCCAGCTTTAAATCAAAGAATATCCTTTTTGCATTATTGGTGAAACAAAGTATTATTTGTGCTCTTTCCAACTAGCATTTTGTGGGAAAGTTTTCCGATTTAGAAAACACGTATACTAGGATTACTAGCACCCAATTTCTCCAGTTTCCTATTTCTTGAGAGAAGTGGAATATTTCTTCCGTTTTTGCTTTTCCTTTTTTATGCAGACAGCCTTTTGGGCAAAGATAATGGAGTGCCATCCTGATCAGAATCAGGATAATAAAGGTGGGCATTCACAATCCGCAAATCTCATTCTCAATTCGTATATACACAATTAGTTGACTAACATATCTTTGCTACAGAGTTTGCTGAAGCCAAATTTAAGACCGTTATGACGGCTTACAAGGCAATAATGGCACGAAACGATGAAAAATCCACACCAATTTGAGGACTTGGGTGGCTACATTCTGGAAGAGTAATTTAATCTTTTGAATAGCATCATTACATATACACTTCTCACCAACTTTTTGAGTAGAAATAAGCACAAATCAGATCACTATGTTCAGTGCCCCAAGATTGAGATTTGAGAGGATACAAAGTTTTTTTTTTTTTTTTTTTTTTTTTTTTTTTTTGTCACCAGGACAAATAAATATTCTTCTTCTACATGCTTATCTTCACCTACAAACCTCCATGCTTGGAGGAGCTCTGTAATAATATGCACCAACAGTTTCAAGGAACAACATTTGTCTTGCTCCTTCAGCCTTCATCTCTAAATAATGCATAATCTTCAAATTTCAATTTTTGTTATTTCAACTAAACTTCATTATATCCTATGCTATCCTATAAAGTTATTAAAGAAAGAACATCAAATTTATTTTTCAGACCATGATTGAAAAACTTGTAAACGCTCCTCGAAGGTGATTAATAGGCCTCTAGGCGTCGGTGTGTATTTTTTTTTAATTTTTTAGAAATATGTTTAAAAATTTTTAATTTTTAAAGATTAATAATTATAAATTATTTAATACTTTAATAGTTAATACTAAAATATTAAATATTAACTTAAAAAACATCTTTTTTTTTTTGCTCAAAACGAAGTTGCTTTGAGTGAAATAACCTATTTAAAAAAAAAAAAAGAAAAAGAACTACCGCTAATTGGCTGACTAGGCTGTATTTTGCTCAAAACGAGGTTGCTTTGAGTGAAATAACTTGTTTTAAAAAAAAACAACAGCTAATTGGCCGACTAGGCCGTATTTTGCTCAAAATGAGGTTGCTTTGAGTGAAATAACCTTTAAAAAAAAAAAAAGAAAGAACAATATTGCTCAAAATAAAATTGCTTTGAGTGAAATAACTTGTTTTTTTCAAAAAAAATAGCTAATTGACCGACTAGACGGCCTACTCGTGCCTAACGGGATTTTTTGAACAAGACAATTGAAATTAGAAATGTAATTTTCGTTTGTAATAATTAACGGGATTTTTTGAACAAGACAATTGAAATTAGAAATGTAATTTTCGTTTGTAATAATTAAAGAAAAGTGAAAAACAGGCGCAAACCAAAGAAATTTTAAAATCTTTGAACGAGAAGGCAGAACGGTCGTTCACTCTCAGGTCATCACTCATCGGAAAATGGATTTCAAATGCTCCGATTCCGGCCTCTGGGAAGAGGCTCTGTCGTCCTATGACGCCCGCATCGAGGCCCTGAATAAGCCTAATCTCCTCTCTCTCGACGCCTTCTACCGGAACGAACTCCCTCTTCTCCTCCGGCAACGGAACCCTAATCCGTACCTCACCACTTCCGACCTCACCAAGCTCATGCAATGGAAACTCACACGAGGCAAATGGAGGCATGAGAATTTTCTTACTTTTTTCTCGCCGTTACCTTATTCTAGTAGTATAGATAGTATGATTTTCAATTTGGAGTTCTGATTTGCAGGCCGAGGCTTTTGGATTTCGTTTCGTCGTTAGACGACGCCGTAGTCAAATCGGCTTCGCAGGCTGCATTTCAGTCTCTTCCTGACGTCTCGAAAGCCGTTTCGGAGCTCACGGTTTTGAAAGGTGTAGGTCCGGCCACGGCCTCCGCTGTTCTGGCTGCTTACGCCCCTGATGTTGCGCCATTCATGTCTGATGAAGTAAAATTATACTCATATAACATATTTGTTGTTTCCCCCTAATTACTTATCTGATCGATTTTTGGTTCAGGCGATGCAGGCTGCGATTGGGAACTCTAAAGATTACACTCTGAAGCAGTATCTAGTTTTTGTGGACAAGCTACAGGCCAAAGCTAAGGTTGGCCATGCTGCTAATACTTTGGTTTGATAGAATTGGATGCAATTTGCATTTATTTTGGGAATGAAGCTTTTGCATTTTCATTCAACTTTTTCTGTGGAATTATTGATCTACTGTACTATGGTACATGTTTCATAGTGTTGATTCTTCGAATATGTGAAGTAGGTTGCCTAACTTGAAAGTAGCCTAGAGAAGTATTAACCATGTGAGGAATGCTTGAGCCTTGACATAACAGATTAACAGGCCCAGGAGCTAGTTGCCTAGTAGTATTAGCATATTTAAGTAAGGTCTAGGAGTACGGGACCTATGGTAACTTGAGGGTGCATAGTTAAGTAGGTGTTTGGTAAATGGCTGTTAGCTGATTGGGATAGTGAGTTTACCTAGTTGATAGGCTGATAGCATTAGCTGATTGTAGAAAAGTGTTTGGTAAATTAGTTGTTAACTGTTACCTGATTACATACAAAATGACTTTCTCAAAAAGTTGATCGAAAAGCTAATTAATCAAACACTTATATTGATTGTTTAACCAGGTCAAATAAGCTAAAATTGGCTGATAGGCTAACTATTTTACCAAACAGAGCCTAACTCAATGCTGGGTGGTCTATGTGGATGTTTTATTCTAAGATTTGAACAGTATTTACCATATAATTGGAAAGCAGACATAGGAACGCTTGAAGGTCAGATTGAGCCTGTTGCGCTTGGGTTCTTTTAATTTTGTTCTTGTCAAAGGAAATTATAGCACAGAGGAGAGCTTAAGTTAACATTGATTATGGAATAGAGCTCCATTAGCGAAAAGCAGTAGATTGTATTTCAAAAATAACTCTTAGGAAATGGAACTTTGGAAGTTGGAGTTTTAATAGGCTCATGAAGTCTTTCAAGTTTCAATATGTGAGTATTAGTTCATTGCCCAGGCCGGGGACATTACCATAGGATTTTAATGATTTCTCTAAATGTGCTCTTCAACAAATAATGTGCAGACCAGCATGGTAAATCTATTACAAAGCTCATAGACAATTGAGATAATAGATTAAATTATCCTAAATTACTAAGCTCTTTGTAGGCCATGTTCTTGAAATTTACAGCTTTGTGATTCTTTTCATTGTTTTTTTTAAGATGGTTTCCTGTTCTCCTTAAATGGTAGATGGAGTTGTAGGGTGGGGTTGTCTGGTTTGACTTTACTCAATGTCCTGAACCTCAATATGGTCCTTTTTGCATACTTTTTGAATATAAAGCATAGCCTATTGGCCCCATTGGTGGGTTTGACACAACTTGATGGAGACTCATTTTCAGGAATTAACAGCAATGGGGGTTTCATTTACTCCTTCAGACATTGAAAGGGCCCTATGGAGTTGTGCTATGGGTGTCAAGTTGAGTGCCTCATCAAAGAAGCCAGGGGGAGAATTGGAGAACAAGTCAAAAAGAAAGCGAAAGCGATAACTTGGACCATTCTAGTCCGCATAATTCATGAATTGTGTCAATTGGTAAGTTAACTCTTCCTCACCCCCTCCCCAAATCTTATTCAAGCTTTTTGACTGCTTGTAGTAGGTTGTTTATATATATATTGCCCATCTAAGGTTGGCACTTTGAAATTGCATTTTGATGGTTAATGACACTTAAAATAAAGGGAAAAATGACACTTTTAGTCCCCCTAATTATGAGCACTTTGAATAATATGTATATACAGGTTTGTATAGTGGTACCCAGAAGGTGTTTACTCAAACCTACCACAGGCAGTACTTTACTACTTGTGATTTACCCAAATCCTATAGTAGGGTACCGAACCTTATATGAATGGTAGGGTACTTTTTTTGATTGGAAAAGAATTATGCATTAAAGATCCTGGAAAAGGGAATCAGCTTGGTTGGCGTGAGTGGTCGTGCACTATTGTCCCTTAAGAGAGGTCAAGAGTTCGAATTCCCTCTCGTATGAAAAAACCAATTTGCGAGTATGGTACGGGCTTAGAGGTGTTTCCTAGGACCGGCTCAGGACACCTCGTGGTCTGACTTAAAAAAAAACTTTGCCTCTTAATTAGGCCGGCCCGGTGCGAAAGAGGATTAGTCTGAGTATGGTACGGGGACTCATTGTCATTTCTAGTTTGTTATAGTTTTTTGTTTTTTAAAAAAAATTATACGGATGGATGGTTAATTCTACGTATATAATTCAAACAAGTCTAAAATGGACTTGAAAGCAAAAAAGAAGATACAAGCAAATGCCATATTTTAAATACAAATTGCAATTATCTTGCCATTTACGGAGTTTAAAAATTGTGTACGTGTACCTATTCTAAACGTAATTTGAGTTACCATAAAGAAATTGTTTCCTGATGATTTTCAACTTGTAACGTGTTAGGAGCAAAGTTGATTATTAGGGGTAACTGATTCTTCAGTAATAACGTTTTTTTAGGGGTAATTAATTAATTAGTAATAACGTTTGCAATGAAACGATGAAAGCCCTAATGTACCCGAAGAATCCAATACGGTATTCCTGTTTTTAGGTTGTTTGTCCCCATTACGGTTGGCCTAACTGTCTTCCACGTTATGGCATCTCATTTCTTTTTTCGTGATTCTCACGTTACGATATCTCGAGTGCACCAACATTTAATTCCCTTTATTTAATCCTCATTTAATTGAGTTATGATAAAGTCAATTAGGTTGCCATAGTACTAGCATTTGTCATATCAAGAACATTAAGAGGAGAAAATAGAGGGAAAAAAAATTAACTTTATTCTTTGAATTATTACTTTTAACAATAATATATAATATAATATGGAGTAATGACTAATGAATTATTTGGCCTTAGGACACTATTTTTTTTTTATAATGCCGTTGACTCTATTACATTGTAGTATCTGTTCAAACATGCTTTCTCAATCAAATGAAGCACAAAGAATCAACAACGCCTCCACCGAGGCTCGATCTCACTACCTCCCACATTTGAGAGGTCATTATATGCCTCCACTGAGGCTCGATCTCATGACCTCCCACATTTGAGAGGTCATTATATGCTATCTGAGCACAAGGTGTTTGGCCTTATGACACTACTTAACTAGTCTACTAATTCAAAATTAGTTTGTACACCTTGTTAAGCTTGTTTTGCTAGCAATGGTAAGGTGTAGGATTCGCATCCTGATGAGTATTTAGGATACATCTCGTGATTTACCTCATGTGTCCATTTCCATGATAAGAGAGGTTAATAGTCCTTAAATTTGAGATTACAATTTATAATAATGAACATATCGTAAACTTAATGACTCATGGTGTGCGACAGTAAAAATTTTGGGTACACCCAAATAAATGGTCCTTCAATTAGAAGAGTCTACCAGCATTTTGCCATGTCCGCTGAATCATTGAGTTATCGGGATTTACATCCTTCTAAACGCTCTGTCGGGTCGAGATGTGAGGCCCTTAGGATTGGGGTTTCAAGCTTTTGGGAGAAGGATAGAAGTAGATAGGAAGCGAAGGGCACACATAGGCGACGTTGCAGGAATTGATTGGACTAAGGAAAACGGATCGGCGTCCGTATTGGTTCCCGCGTAAATTCTCCTAACTTATTATTGTTATTTTTTGTCTGAAAGAAAGAAAGAAAGAAAGGGGGTTACGAATAATAGACTTTTCTCTCTACGTATAAAATCCAAATCCCCAGAATTTAACGGAATTACAGATATGTCATTTAGCGACCGGAAACACCGCCGGGGTCCCAAGGTGCTTCCGCTCCTCGACCAGAAGGTTGAGGATTCGGAGCATGCTGAGGGCGGATTCGACGGCGCGTCCTACTCCGGCGCCGTCTTCAACCTCTCCACCACCATAGTCGGCGCCGGGATCATGGCCCTCCCGGCCACGCTCAAGCAGCTGGGGACGATTCCGGGGCTGCTCGTCATCCTCCTCGCTTCGATGCTCACGGAGAAGTCGATTAGCATTTTGCTCAGATTCAGCAAGGCTTCCAAGACCGCCTCCTACTCCGGCCTCGCCGGCGACACTTTCGGCGGCTTTGGCCGGACGCTCTTGCAGGTCTGCATTGTGGTTAACAATGTCGGCACCCTGGTCGTCTACATGATCATCATTGGTTTGTATTTTCCTCATGTTTTTCTTTTCTTTTCTAACTTTGTTATGACCGCTTTTGTTTTTTCTGTTGATAACTACTCCTTATTTTAGTGCTTTTCTCACCTATTATAATCCAATTTCTTTAAATTTAAGTTTTCTTCAGCTCCTTTTCCTTCTTCTGAAGAGTTATTTGTTTTGTAAAATTCACAATTGGGTCTATTTAGTATATCTACCTATCTCCAAGGTTTAGTTGGTGTTTTGTGGGAAATGAAGTTGTTTGTTACATGAGAACTTGTTTCTTAAGCTCTCTTGTTCATTTATCTCCTAAATGATTGTTTTGTCTTTATTAGAACAGAAGAGAATTAATTGCTTCTTTGATTTTCAGTCAAGTATGAGATGTGGATCGTGTTAATTAATATGCCAAACATTTGATTAGTGAAGTAAATTATCCTGTTGTGTATTTTGGTTGCAGGGGATGTCCTATCTGGGATTTGGTTCGATGGGGTGCACCATTTGGGTGTAATGGAAGAATGGTTCGGTCAACATTGGTGGACGACACGTTCCTCCTTGGTGCTTATTATCAGCCTTTTTATTTTTGCTCCTCTCATTTCATTCAAACGTGTAGGTGAGCAACGGAGCATCAACAAGATAGAAAATATTTGCAACTCTTCTTTAATGAAATAAAAACAAAATTAAAAAAAAAAAAAAGCTTTAAAAAAAAATTACTACATGTGCTAGTATGAAATGGGGATACCCATACCCTGAGTTTTAATAGTTGCTCAATGCAGTTTGGATTTGATGTATAGATGATGTTTGCAATTTGTTTAGTCCATCATATTGCATTTTTCAATTTCAAACAATGAGTAAAAGTTCCTCATAGGAAACTCTTCTAATCTGTTCAATACTTCAATCCAAATTGTCAGGTCTTGATCCTATGGATGTCATTCTAAAACAATACCAGCAGCATTTGATCTTTGAAATAAAACAAATAAAAAAATTACTCTCGTTCAGTTATGTGATGATTTTCTTAATGAAACTAATGGAGAGAAGAACTTGGTTAGCCTATATTCTTCATTACTCTTATGAACTTCCTGGCAATTAAAACATATCTTAATGAGTAGGATAAGCTTAAGAGTAGAGACCCTGAATAGCGCCTAGTTGGTTAGCTAATACTCCAGTCCTACAATATCAAAGTAAGTGAGAGGATTGATTTTCTTATTCAGTGACTCCCATCTCTGCTAAACATTCAATTAAGACAATGGATTGATACAGCTTTGTGAAATTTATAGCACTAGTGATTTTACTCCAGTGTGGCTCTGGGGAGATCTCTTTGTCTATCTACACTATAAGATTGATGTAATGATGCTTTACTCATGCACTTACAATCATTGATCACTGTAATGCATTCAGGGTTGAGGTTCTTGTCTTGTTAACTTGCTAAATCTTTCTTCTACTAGGTTGAATAGGGAAATCTGAAATGACAATTCAATTGATTTCCCCACTATTAAAAGTAAAATGAGAGTAATTTGATGTGACTTTGTCCTCTTGTTCTGTCAGATTCTTTGAGATACACATCGGCCTTGTCAGTGGCTTTAGCTGTTGTCTTTGTGGCAATCACAGCCGGTGTAGTCATTGTTAAGATGATAAATGGTAGCATTCAAATGCCACGCATGCTGCCTAACGTTGTTAATCAGGCATCTTTCTGGAAACTTTTCACAGTTGTTCCTGTACTTGTCACTTCCTACATATGCCATCACAATGGTAAGCTCTAAGTTCAAGCAAATTTGTGTTTTTCATTGTGTAGTGCTCCTTTCTTGTGATGAATGATTGAATGCATAATCTATGCTTAATTTTTTGAGAAATCTGTTTATAATCAAATATGTGAATGGATAAATTTGGAGCATGTGTCAATTCCATGAGAATTGATTCTGAAAATTGTTAAAATCATTAGATACTCGCCCACATCTTAGTGGGTCATGCATGGAGTTTGGTTGGTAGGAAGTTAGTGCACCTCAATAATATGAAAGATACTAATCTCATGATCTGAACTAAATTTTAAAGTACTAAAACTTTATTATATTCAGTTCTCATATCCACTTTCGTGGTTTTGAAGGTTTCTGTTAAGGGATAGGCATTTCTTTCTGTTGCATAGTATCACCAAGGGTATTTAAATAGGTATATAAACATTTGGGTACCTTGTTTTACATATGCATTCTGCTCCTAGAATCACTGACATTCCATGCACATGCTGAAACTGTTTCATAAAGCTTTTGTAGAACTGTAAAGTTTGCAATAAATGTTCATGGTCAAATTGCAAAGAGCCTTGTATATATGATCTACTTTTTAGTTCATTTATCTTACTATTGTGATTACTAGCTACATCCCTATATTGTGGCTTTACCCTAGTTATATAACATACTCTCAACCATCTCTTAAATTTTGTACTTCAAGCATCACTTCTCTCCATTACAAGCAAAGTCAGAGCACCGGTGCCTTCTAATGCTAACACTGATGATGAAAATCTGCATAAAATGTGCAAATGCAGCATCAGTTGAGTGGTGCACTTAGCAGCACTTTATGCATGAAACTTCTGACTCAATCAAAAGAAATTGGCCTAAAATTTTTATCTTTTCAAGAAAATTTGGTACTTTTTGGCTAATTATGTTTTTTTTTTTAAAAAAAAAGATCTTTTAATTCAATTGATGATTGATGATTTCCATTGATAACAAATCCTAAGGGTTGTTTCTCAAAATGTTCGCAGTGGTGGCTTGGTAACTTCTACCCTTGACTCTTGAGAGCTTTTGTCCTACCTTTGGATGTCGCAGTCATTTTTCCCACTTTTCTTAATTTAAAATTTAGAATTTTTTTTTTTCTGTGAACATAGTGAGTATAGGATTTGAAAATGCCTTAAGATTTGTCATCAATCATTGAAATCCATAGATGAATCGAATCCGACGGTATAGTGGTGAAACTATCAGATTTTTTCTTCTAGATGTGGCAGCTCTGCATCTTCTTCACACAAAGAAGATGAAAAGGATTTTTTTTTATTATTTAAAAAAGAAAGAAATCTTCCGGTTTTTTTAGAAGATTTGTTAAGGAAAACAGTTTTAAGTTAAAAATATTTCTTTATAAATTTTAAAATATATTCAGATTTTGTAAAATTGTAGATTTTTATCGTTGAAGAGTTTATGATGAATAGTTCATTTGTCTATATAAGGATAATTTCCTTTTTTGACTGATTTTGCATTTGTTCTGGACTAAATTTTTACTGTGAGTGAATGGTTGAAAACAAGTGTAAATCATTTTCTAATATTACTAACTAAACATTGGAAAAGTTTTTCCCCCTGTAAGACCTTTTCCTTTTTCCCAATTTGTTTAGTTAATTATTTATTTATTTTTATGTATTATAGAAGAGGTGTAATTGTTCAATAATTTGTATGCATATGATGTTACTTATCACATTCATTTGATTATCCACAACATAAGCACTTATTTGAAACTTATTATTGCTACATTTTGACATATACTGCAGTACATCCTATAGAAAATGAACTTAAAGACCCCAGCCAGATGAAATCAATAGTCCACACATCAATCACGTTATGTACTTGTGTCTATATTGCAACTAGCTTTTTCGGATTCCTTCTCTTTGGTGATCAGACACTGGACGATGTACTTGCTAACTTTGATGGAGATCTTAAGATTCCTTACAGTTCAATGATTGATGATTTGGTGAGAGTGAGCTACGTAATTCACTTGATACTTGTGTTTCCTATAGTCTTCTTTTCCCTCCGCCTCAACCTTGATGGCCTTCTATTCCCGCATTCAATTCCTATTGCCTATGACAACCGGAGATTCTATACTGTTACGGCAGTTCTCATGTGTTTCGTATTTTTGGGAGCAAATTGTGTGCCAAGCATCTGGGATGCTTTTCAATTTACTGGTGCCACAGCTACCGTCTCCGTTGGTTTCATCTTTCCAGCTGCCATTGCCCTTAAGTGAGTATCGTTTTTTTGAAAATTTCCTATACTTTTGCAGCATTCCTTGGTATATATGTAACTTCATATCCTACAACCATTGTTGAGCAGGGATCCTCATGGAGTTGCAACCAAGAATGACAAGGTAATGTCTTGGATCATGATAGTTACCGCTGTGTTTTCAAACACGGTAGCCATCTGCTGCGACATATACAACATTTTCAACATTGGCGGTGGGAGTTGATCGAAACGAGTTTGGGTTGGGAAACAATGAGGGCACTTTTCAACATTTTCGAAAACTAAGAAATACTCAGCTGCATTGATCTCGTTTTCCCGGCTCCTGACTGACGCCTGACCTAACCGTTCAACTGATGAAAGTAAGACATGCATATTTTATTTATACTCTATAGTTGTGGATTGTGAAGAAATTTTGTTAAGTTGTTAACACTATTCTTTAATCTGCAATGTTCTTCTTAACATAGCAAGACAATTTTTTACAGATACAATGAAAACCAGATAACAACAATACACAGATTGTAACCATTGTTTTGTGGGGAACATTCAATATAGTCTGTACTTCCTTTTGGTTGGGGAGGTTCAGGTTCTTTGTATCAGAACAACCTTTATACTGAATTACTGACACTGAAATATGAACTGTACATCTTTATCTTTATCACTGAGGCTATAGGTATTGAGTTGATGTGTGTCAAATGCTGTTTTGGATTTTTGCTCCGACACCCACTCTCTTATTACATGTTTTTGTTTTCAATGGATGATGGGATTAGGATGATGGGTCTGACACTGTACATATGTGTTGAATAGAAGTAGGTGTTCAGAGGATGCACGCAATTGTAGCATGACTGGAATTACACAGACCTGGCTGGCATGCTTTCAAGAATGACACCAGCCTTCTCTCTACCTGCATCCTATATATATATATATATATATATATATATATATATATATATATATATATATATGGCCCAGTTCCAGTGCGGCCATGCCTTAACGTGCGGTCAGTGCGGACGCACCATTAGTTATGCAAACATGTACCAATAGTGTTAGGAAACACACAACAAAATAATGCACCAATGGACCAAAAAACACACCATTAGATATGTATAAGCGTACCACACAGTGTTCGAAAACGCACAATTAAGTGTGGGGAGTTATGGTGTATTTTTTTTTTTTTTGGATGTGTGTTGTGTTTTGTGATGTATTAGTGCATTTCATTGTTGTGCGTTTTTCTAACACTATTGGTGCATTTTTACATAACTAATTGTGCGTCTGCACCAACCGCACTTTAAAGCATGAGCGCATTTGAGATATATATATATATATATATATATATATATATATATATATCTTTTTTGGAAAAATTATGATTTATGCTCCTCAAGTATATGTCACCCTCTAATTTCAAGTGGTATAAATATTGTCCTTGAATTATCAAAATGTGACCATATATAGAGGGGCAATGTTGCCCGTATTTTACCATTCAAGAGTAATATTTATACCACTCAAAATTGATGAGTGACATTTACTCAATGGACATATATTACAATTTTATTTTTTAGGTTATTAATAATTCTAATGGGTTGTGTTGGGTCCATATAAATCTAAATTCGAATAAATATATATAGTTTAAGGGTAGAATTTTAAATAAGGAGTATGTAGTATTTGTAGTTTTGTAGCATTGTTGTCAAATCTGCATTATTGAAAGCAACGAAGTAGTGAAATCCGATAGGTGACAAAGGAGAGTGATGCTTCCTTGCTGGCTTTCTTCTTCTTCTTTATGATTATATATATGTGTGTATGACTGTGTGTTGTGTGTTATTAACTTTTGATGATTGAAACATCCTACTAACTAAGAGCACTGTAGTAAAAAGGCCTGTCGGTCATGCTGTCTACGTGGTACTATCATTGACTGGTTAAGAATGATGTGTTACGACTTACCACTATGAGTTAATATTTGAAGCTACTTGCTTTTACTTTAATTAATGGTTGCAGTAAGCGGCTAAGCGCTAGGCGCTAGTCGGGCGCTCGGGCAGTGTCTAAGCGAGTTAGGCGGGCTTCAAAAAAATAGTAGGAGATTTGCAGTTTGACAATTTTAATGAGGCTGTTTTTAATATTCAATCAAATAACACATCCAAATAAATGAAATAATAATAATTTATAAGTCATAACATTAAAATAATATTAAAAAATAAAAATACTCAAATACTTTAACTATCCAAAGATTCAAAGTATCAAACTAGTCTACGGACAGCTAGACTAGACGAAATCGGTCAAAATCAGAAGAAATCGACCGACTCGGCCAAGTTGGCTGCCTAGGTCGATTTTGCCGCATAGGCGTCCGACCAATTTTTTGGCGCATAATAGTGAAAGCGGAATGGCTTAGGGGCGCCTAGGCCAATTTTTACAATTGTGCTTTAATTAAGTATTTACTAACCCATCAAGATTATGTGGTCTAATGGTATTCGGGTTGGACTTTCATTTGGAAGAGTTGTGAGTTTGAGCCTTAGTGGAGGCGTTGTTACTACTTTTTGTTTCAGTAGGTTGAGAAAATATATGAACAGATGAGCCAAATATCTGCATATTATTTTCTTGTACTAAAATCATTACATTACGTTCTCATACTCTTGTGATAGATTCAAACTTTTTATTTTCATTAGCTATTCGCGAATTGTCTGTGATAAGAATTATACGCCAAGATTATTACCCACGTTCTAACCAAATCCCCCAAGGTCAAGAAATAGATCACCAAGATTGGGTGCCGTCAAGAAATCAGGTTAAGTCGTCGTTGCTCTAGATATCACATTAGTATTCGACACAAATCACGACATATTTGAGCCACCACCTCCATACTAACACGTCAAACTTGTCGACAATATGTCAATATTGTATTATTTCTTTCTTGTACACTTTCTACTCTAGCAGAGATTCCTAAGCACACCTTGTACTTAAGTGATTGTACTTGAACTTATTTATATTATTAATAAATACATCTTTTACACTCTCCCAAAATAAATACACAATTTTTAATAATTTACAAAACTCGCAAGTCATAAAATCTAAGCATTAAATTTTAGTTGAGTTGGTAAAAATTTTCATTTTTCTAGTTAAAATTGCAAACTAGTTCACCGAAATCAAATCTAATGAACGTAATAATTGGATTCAAATCAAACTGCAATCATTCCTAATTAAATTAATATGTTGATTGTTAAAATGCATTTTAATTTAACTATAAATTATAATAATGCATTTCATGCCATATATATATATATATATATATATATATATATATATATATATATATATATATATATATATATATATATATATATTGCACATTGTAGAGAAAACACATGCATGAATAATAGAGTAGGGGCCTAAAGACAGTGTATTGTACAAAGATGATATCATATTCAGAATTAATGTTTGGTTTATATGTTTGCTGATTTTGGTAGCTTTGTCGGTCGACGCTCAATCCATCATGTAATCCTAACCATTCGTTTAGTTTACGAAAAGGAATATTCTATTACTCCGTATTTTTTTGATATTACTGACTCTGTTACAATGTATAATAATATATGTTCATATATTACTTCGTATTTGATTTAGTAAAAAATAATAGGAATGCAGTGTGGGACCAACCTCTCAAAGTGAGGGGACTCCTTGTGCGCAGTAAGTAAATGTCTAGCTTCTGTGGTTCATGTTCATGTTCAGTTGAGTTACCATGATTTACATCCTCAACTCTCAAATGCTCTGTCGGGCTGGAGTGTGAGGGGCTCTTAGGGTTGGGATTCAACCTTTTAATGGGAAGAAAATAATAGGAATTGAAGAGTTATAATTTACTGGTTCAAAGAATTTCTTTTTTTTTTTTTTAAACCAAACAAGCTTTGAATTTACTTTCGATCCTGAAAATCTAATATAATACGTTGTAATTAATAAATTGTTAAATTGAGAGAATTTAAAATTGAAAAAAAAAAAAAAAAGTTACTTCCTAACAAAAAGCATTCATTAATGTTTATTTCTTAAATATAATTATTTATAAGATTAAAGCGAATAAAGTTCTTCTTTTAAAAAAAAAAAAAAGAAAAAAGAATAAGTTCTTTATCTTTATTGATTATTCATGAATGTGTTAAATATACCACAAGTTCATAATGAATTCTTGTAATAATTAAATATAAAAGTTAAAAGATTCTAGATATGTCATGAAATTATACCATGATGTCAAAAAACTCTTAAGAGGGAGCGTGTTCATTTTTAGAAACATTTCTCTCTCTCTCTCTCTCTCTCTCTCTCTCTCTCTATATATATATATATATATATATATAAAAGAGCGCTCATATGTGCTCATGTCATTAGGTGTGGTCGTATCTGTGTTGTTGAATCAGTTTAATCTAACGGCAATGGTAATTCTGAAGATTTTCGCGCGTTTTGGTAAGTGGGGGTGTTATGGTAATTACAATGGCCATTTATAGCGGGCGGGTTCCAGAATACACCAACAGTGTTGACAACATACACCAATAGTGTAATAAAACACACCACAGTGAAACACACCAATGGTGTATTCCCGTGTTATGGTAATTACAGTGGCCATTTATAGCAGTCGGGTTCCAGAATACACCAACAGTGTTGACAACATGCACCAATAGTGTAATAAAACACACAACAGTGTGATTTTTCCTATTCCGGTGTTTTATGACGAGTTTACCCTTGCAGTTCGCTGGGTAGGAGAATGTGCGCGAAAATACTGAAAAAATCTTGATTAATATGATTCATTGGATCTATCTAATCTAATGGTCTATAATTGACCATATGACCACACCTAACAACATGGCCACATGTAATCATCCCTATATATATATACACACACACACACACACAAACTCCAAAAAAAAAAAAAAAAAAAAAAAAAAAAAGATGTGACTATTTTTATAATTAAAAGCATTTTCAAAAAATTACAAAAAAAAACTATATTTTACGAGTCTAGTTGAAAAACATTCATTCTCCAAAATAAAGGTAAACAACTAGTTTTTAAATTATCGTTTCCTTATGTTCTCTTGCACCCCATTTTCTTGTGCTATTACTTAGGGTGTAAAATTTGACAACTTCAATCTATTTGGTCGGACAATTAACTTAATAATTACTAAACCATAATATTTTAAGTTTGACTCTGAAATTGTTTATCGACTTTTTCAATTGGCCAACCCAATTATGAACAATCTAAAATAATTTACTAATCCACAAGACCAACTCCACCTACAAAACACTTGCATGTAACAATTATAATGAGAATTAATTCCCAATAAAGGAGATATGCATCATGTTTGCGTCAATATGTTGCACGTTTGCAATTTGTATCACTAAAAATGAAAATAAAATAAAATTGAAAAGTTGTCACCGACAACCCCATAGATACCAAAATTGTGTTGCATATGCTTTAGACTTCGGTTGGTCATAAATACCCCCACGTTAATATTTCCTTTCCTTTACTATCCTATTTAATTGCATCCAAACACCTTTTGCACACATAAATGACATAATTGATATGGACTTCTCCTACACCAAATAAGCTAATTTAATAATTAATTAAATTAATTTACAACTTATAAATATTTCATATATATAAGGAAGGGATCAGGTGCAGGGATGACTTCTTGTGCG